CAGTGGATGCTGTTTCCCCTGACTTTTGCAAGGTTTCTAGCAGAGTTTCCCATGTGGAGATGTTGCTGCCATGAAGGTCAACCACCCACTGGGCTGCATTAGTAAAAGTGGAGCTCGCATGTGGAGGGAAGTGTTTATTCATCTCCATTTCGTACTTAGGAACTCACTCCTGAAGTACTGTCTCCATTTTGAGGTTCCCAGCATAAGAAAGACAGACCTATTGGAGAGTCCAGATGAGGTGGTTGGGGGCTAAAGCACAGGACACATGAGGAGAGGGTGATAGAGATGGGTTTCAGCTTGGTTGAGAGAAGATAAAGGGGAGATCTTGCTGTTTGCAGCTACCTAACGTGTAGCTATGTCAGGTGAGCACATTGGAAAGGCAGGAGCTTGTGGACACAAACTGCAACATGGGAAGTTCTGCTGTGGAATTTCCCCCTATTGGCATGGTGCAGCCCTGGAACAGGTACCAGGGAGCTGATGGGATCCTCATCCTTGATGGGCTTCAGAACTTAACAGGACAAGGTGCTGAGCAACCTGATCTTGCTTTGGGGCTGGTCCTGCTTTGTGTAAAGAGTTAGACTGGAGCCTTCCAGAGGGCTGGTCTGACCAAAATTATTTTAGGTTCCTTTCATCTCCCTGCATTCAGGGCTTGTTCTACTTTAATCCAAACATCCTGGTGAAGACATAAAAGTGCCAGCATTTATTTTCCAGTTTTGTGTGCTTTATTACAGGGGTTTTTTATATTTAAGTTTTCTCTGTCTAGAAAGTCTCCAGGATTTCGTGGCCAGGTTGGTCGCTGTTATAACAGATCTGGGGTAGTATAAATGGTTTCAGAATTAGAACCTGACATTGGGATCTCCTGGTTGCTATTGCTGTGTTTGCTGACATGTCTTCAGGTTTTGGTTACAGGCTTTTTTGTATAGTGAGCCAAAATCTTTCTGTAGCCCACCAGAGGCAGGTGAGACTTCCTTTAGTGTGTTTTGCAACTCGGGATGCTTTACGATGCTGTTTCTAAACCAGCCTGGGTTTTAATGTTAGATAACAAGGTCTGGGAAGATGAATCCCATCCAGCTCAGTACCTTTTTTTCCACCCTGTTTCTGACTGAGCTCTAACCTCTAGGAGGATCTATTTTTGTTTTTCTCCTTTAAGGCATTTCCCCTGGAGCAGAACCATCACGAGTAAAGGGCATTTTCAGCCTGGAAGGGTTTGTTTCTGGAAGGTGAATTGCATTTCACCCTACGATATGCACATGGTGAGAGAGCTCTAATTTCTGCCTTCCTTTTAAGCATGTGGGAGGCATTAAGAGGTGAGGGTTGGTTGCCTGGACACTACGGGGGGAGGGTTTAGCATCCGTTACTTGTGATCTGGAACACAGACCCCATGAGATCTGTTTCTCAAACACCTCTTCCTACGATGTGCCTCTTCAGGCTCCCATGGCTTTGCTCTGTGCCTCCCTCTCCTGATACTGACTGCTGAAGATGTCTCTCTGCAGATAAGGGACATCAGGAGGGGCTGAATTGCCAACTATCTGCAGTGCTGCTTCTCTGATGCAGTATCTTTCTACCATTTCTTGCTCATGTGGGAGTATGAGGAAGGTGGTGCAGCACGTGTCCGTGTGCGTGTCCGACTGGGGCTTCTCACTTCGGTGTTCTTTGAAGTCTGGGCTTTTTTTTCCTAGCAGAATACTTCCCAGAATATTTCTGCTTCCCAGCAGGATATTTCCCAGTGTAGCAGTGGGAAAGGGTAGTGGCCAGAGGAATCAGAACACACTGTTAACTCTCCAACCCCTTGCAAGCTGTCTGTGCCTGCACCAGCCAGCGTTCCCTTCCTGGGGTCTGTGATGGAAGGAAGAGGTGTGTGGGGATTTAGGGCTGGGACAGAGTCCACATGGACAGATGTTGGGTCTGGATGGCAGGGGAAAGATCCCAGCAGGCATTACAGCCAGGAATTACAGCTAACTAAATATCCACAGACAAAAAGCTGAGATTAAATACCTTGGTTTTGCTTCTAGGAGCTCAAACCAGCAAACTTTTGTGTGAATGAGATAGCCTGGAAGTTCCCAATCGGGCATTAAACAGTAATGGCTCTTGGGGCATGTTTGGGAGAGATTGTCTGAAAATATGAGCATGGTTTTGTGTCGCTGGATAGTGGGGAAAAAGGATTAACCCTTTGCCAGCTCATATAACCTGAAACTGCTGCTGTCAGCTGCCAGACCTGAGGGGTGGGTATCTCAGTCTCGGGGACGGGCTTGCATTCTCCAAAATATCTCTGTTTTCCTGTGGCCTCTGAGGAGGCCAGTACCATCTATTGCAATGTCATGCAGAGCTTCTCATCATTTGCATTCCCATGGCCATGGCAATGTGGCCATCCCAAGCATCCTGCATCCTGGCCCAGGCTTCCAGGAATAATAACATTGGTGGAAAAAACAATGAGATTGAAAAAATAATCCTGCAGGGTGCTTGCTTCCTTGGCTTTGTTTCAGAGGAGTTGTACATCTACAGCCACGAGGGCTGGACAAGTGAAACATTGACATCTGAGAGCGCCTACAAATTGTCTCTACATTGTGTGTTAGACAATGCTTCCGGGTCCCTCAGGGCCAAAATCCTCCCTGAAACATGCTGTCTCTTCCCTTCAGGGTGTCCTGACAGTGCCTTGCTGACGTGTAGGGGAAACTTCAAAGGTGCCCAGCCCTGACAATGGCTTCCAGAGCAGCTCCACAAGTCATCCAACTACCCAGAAGGCCTCTGCCTGGAATGCACCACAACAGTCAGAATGGAACCCGTAAGGCAGTGTGGCCTTCTCCTCCTCCCTTTCAACGTGTCCCACCACTTTGATGCCCTCTTGCTCACACGGGCTGTTGCAGGCAGCACCACCAATGTCTGCCACCATCAGCTCCTGGTACCCTCTGGTGTGTCAGTGGGGACCCAGGACCACCCTCTGACTAGGGGGATTGCACTGGGACTTACAGCACAGCTCCACTTTTCCCAAGGGAAATGGAAGAAAATGGTTTAGTGTCTCCATGATCTGAGCGTGAGAACTGACTTTGAGCCCTTTCTGTAGGGTATCAGAAGTCTGGATTAGGATTCAGCTATCACAGTGGGGCATGGTTTTCATCGTCCCCACCTGAGCTGCATAGCAGAGCTTTGGATTTTGTCACTCAGTTTGAGGTTCCGATCCTCTTCCCTAACCTTTGGATCTCATTCCTCTGATTTCCTGCTGACCTCTCAAGCTTTTCTTCTTGAGACAAGACTGAGGGGCTCATGAGCAGAGAAGGGAAGCAGAGCTTGGCTCTGGGTGGGGATTCTGCCTTCGCATGGGAGACCCTGTTATATGATGTCCTCAAACTGTTATGCAGCAGACTGTCCTGCTTATGAACCCTGAGCAGCAGATCGCAGGGTGCAACCAGGTCCATGGGGTCTGGAGAGGGACACTGGTGATGCACTTCTGCTGCATAAAGGTGGGTGTTTTGGTGCTTCCCTCTGAAGAAGAGGGGTGTGAAGGATGATGCCAGCTCATGTGGACACACACAGTTTCCCAGTCCTCCCTCAAGCAACACAGACAACATCCAAGCCGCAGCAGCCCAGCTTGGCCGGAGAGGCAGGCAGCCTGAATGAACCAACAAGGTGCTTTTCACATGCAAGAGGACAGAAGCCAGCCACTGGTCAGCAATGGGGCTCATTTATTGTCTCACAAGAACGGATGACATACAGCTGCAGCAATGTCAGCAGAACCAAAGCTTTGTGTAGGGCCTGAGCTCTGACCGCGGGGCTCCCTGTTGCGCTGGGTGGCAGTAGGAAGGTTTGTGATGGAGAGGGTGGATCTGGGAGATCCCTGAGCTGCAGGAAGCAGATTTGAGACTGTTCCCAGTGGCTGGTGTCCTCCTGATGCCATCATCCCACAAGGCTGATTTCTGTTCCCTCCCCCTACATGAGCTGCCCTTAGAATAGGGGAGGGCAAATGCAGCCCCCAGAATGGCTATTCTGTGTGGGAGAAGAACCAACAGCCTCTACCAGGAGTGAGGTTTGGGGGCAGTGGGGGAGCCAGGCCCCGTTTTCACTGTGTGTGACCAGGAGCCTGGTGACTGCAGGCAGGAGCTGCAGCGTGCGAAGGTGGAGGGAGTGATGAAGGTGGAGGCACCCATGAAGGTGGATGCACCCAGGAAGGTGGAGGCACCTTGGCAAGGTGCTGCTGAGTGACCTCAGGCAAAGCACGTGGGTTTCTCCAGGGAGGTGTTTGGATTTGGCTGCCTTGGAGTTCAGAGACCCCTTGTTAGACACTGTGGGTCAGATTGAAGGAGGGGGCTGAGCATTCCCAGCTCCTGGTATCGGCTGAAAGTGAGGTCCTGCCCAAGCCATGAGGCTCCCAGGGGATGAAGCGGAGCCTCCCAAAACAGAGGCGGTCCAAACCTCAGGTACACACACTGCTTTTAACCCACTTCTGCTCTTCCAGTCGGTGGTGTGGGGCGGATGCAAGGCCATTTCCAGGGGTCTGTGGGACCTGCAGAGGACCCTGGAGAACAAGGCCTGAGGTTCTCATGGGTAGCCACGTCATTGCAGTTGCCCATTTCCATGTGTTTCTGCCACAGAGCAATGGCTTTTGCTAAGACATCTCTGCCTTGAGAAGACATGCTTGGTTTTGCTGCAGGCTCCTCCTGGCTTGTGGTATTGCAGGATGATGATGAGGGTCTCCCTGACCCATCTCCTGACCTGCTGGGACTCGCTCCCAGCCAGTCCCTGGCAGCAGAAACACTCACGCAGGGGATTTATCTCCTCCCATGGCCAGCCCTGAGTATCTGGAGCTCAGTAAGAGCCCTCCCAGGTGAGTGGCAGCTGGCAGAGCGGTGCCTGTTGCCCAGGCAGATATGATGGGGGCGAGGGTAGATGGGTTGTACTGGTGCTTTACATGGAGCAGCCTGCTGTCACCTTGCTGGCCACCCGGTGCTGGGGCTGGCCCTCAGTGTGTGCTGTGGGGCTGTTGGGCATGGCTAATCAGAGGAGGTTTATAAGTGAGACATGAAGGGTGGTGTGGGAGGGGAGGGGAAGAAGGTGATCCGGAGGCTGCTGCCGGCTGGTTCTCGGCTCTCTGAAGTGATCAGCACCTCACTGTCATTGAGGCAGGGACAATGCTCAGAGAAGCCTCTCTCCTTCCCCCTGGCGCCCACCCTTTGCTGGCAGGGGACGAGCGTCATGGAGGGGAAGCTGTAGCTGTCAAGGATGGGGTGCACTCCCAGGGAATCGGGTGTCTCGAACATGTGGCCGATGTCGGAGAAGCTCACCAGAGCCTGCGTGGAGTCATAGGAGCTTTTATCCATGTCATCGACCCTGCAGGACTTGGGGTAGCTCCCCTTGTCCTGGCCCTTCCGCCTCAGCAGGCGGAGGTCATCTCTGAAGTGGGGGTTGAAGAGCAGGTAGAGCAATGGGTTGAGGCAGGCGGGCAGGGGCAGGACCACGAGGAGGATGGATTTGATGACCTCTGGGGTGATGAGGAAGAGGTTGAGCGTGGAGGAGAAGGTGAGGAAGGCTACTGGGCAGTAGAGGAGACAGTTGGTGAAGATCAGCCAGGCCACATGCTTGACCATGGCACAGTCCCAGACAGCGCTGAACTCCCCCTTCAGCAGGTTGCAGTAGAGTCGGATGTAGGTGCCCGTGATAGTCAGGAAGCAGAGCATGTTTGTCATCACCAAGGCCACAGTGAAGCCCAGGGTGGTGGGTTTCCCATCTGGGATGGGATATGGGAGGCAGAGAGGAGATGCTCCATATTGCCCAATGGAGAAGAGAGGGAGAACTGCAGCCACAGAGGACAGCAACAGGCAGCCAAAAGCAGCAGCCTTGACCTTGCCTAAGGAGGGTGACTTTCCATAGCCCCGCACGCAGGAGACCGAGATGCTGCACTGCACGGCAGCCAGCGTCAGCAGTAAGATGGCAGCCTCGGAGGCAAACACTGACAGGAATCCCGTCACCCTGCAGCCTGCTCCCGTCTCCCATCTGGCGCCGAACTTGGCAAAGTGGCCGTAGGTCAGCGCGTCGACCAGAGCCAGCATACTGCAGGAGATGCCTGTCAGCGTGTTGGCTCCAGCTATGGAGCCGATGATGAACTTGACTGGAGAGAGGTAGCTGGAGGAGGCAAAGACAGCCAGGATGACCAGCCCATTGCAGAGCACCGAGACCAGAACGATGACCCACACTCCCAGGCGGATGACCCAGCTCTCGAACAAGTGATCGCAAGGCTTGAAGGGACCTGGAAGAAAACGGACCCCAAAGTTATACCCAGAATATTCCTCTTCACAAGTTTTAAGTAGAGATCAAAAGGAATTAGAGGAAACCGAGCACTCTTGTTCGGGTCGCAGGGGGTGGGGGCTTTGGCTGGCTTTCCTCAGAGCCAGCACCTCGACACCCAGGCAGCAGCTGAAATCTTCTTGTCACATTTATGGCAAACTCAGTGGGACAACCGATGAAAGCCCCATCCCTGCCAGTGTCCCACCGCCTCCTGGATGAAGCCAGGCCCCTCCAGCCTCCAGCTGTGCTTGTGAGGACACCACTGAGCTGTGAATGGGGACGAAACCAGAAGGCAGCTTCCTGGTGTCCCAGCCAGCCTGTGCCTGCTGGCACGGTTTTGATGGAAGCAGGGAGACCAGCACCTCCCTCCTCTCCCTGTCTCAGGAAATAGAGTGAAATACCCCTGCAAGTATGATCAGGAGATCAAGGACAAGGTCTTGTCATGCACTATTATGGGCTGGCTGGGACTAAGCAAAGCCTAAGTCTTGCAAGGGAACAGGAACTTCCCGAAAGCATGAGTCTGAGTGCGGGCAGGTTGGTGGATGGAGGAGCTGGATACCTTGGATTCCTGATCAGGAATCATCCGATCACACCTTGTCCTCCCCTCATAGGAGGGCAGCTAAAGCTGAGTGGGAAAAGGAAGCTCCTCACTTGTCCCCAGTTTGGCCACAGACCGACCATTCAGGCTTCTGATCTGCCTGATCAACGCGGGAAGGGTTGTGGGATCTTGGGGACTTAGAGAAGCTCAAAGGCTGCGTTCCAAGGGTTTCCCTGGCTGCTCACCTGGGCTCGGTGTGCACTGAATCGTGGGGTGCAGCTTTGATTCCTCGAGGTCCAGCTGGAGGTCGTCTGTATCTAGGTCATCTGGGGAGACAATGAGAAACAGTGCTCAGAGAATGAGCCCCCATCAGGGCTAGAAGCTTGTCCCACTGCCAGTCCTCAGCACAGACCTTCCCAAGCAGTTCCCAGCCCTCGAGTTCCCAGTAGCTGCTGGTGTCTGGTTTGACCCCTGCAGTCACTGCTGTAGAGGGAGAGGCTCTTGTAAACGTTGGTGGGTTGCAGCGTGGCCAGCCCCAGTGTTTTTAGGTTACTCACAACATTTGAAGTGTCCCAGAGCTGTGTGACTGCAGATCCCTCCTCCCAGCATGCTTTATTAAACATAAAGAAATACTCCAGCCTATGTGGTTACGGAAAACAAAGCCTTCAAATGCATCTTCTAAATGGAAGTTTTCTAGGCAGGCTTTGTCCAATGTTAGTTCATCCTCAATGACATTGGAGCTTTGTTCAAAGAGAGCTGTTAGCTTCTACTTGCCGCACAAATTCCTCGTCAGCAACCACCACCAAACAGCTCAGAAGCAAAAAGACAAGAGAACCCAACATCTATCGCTTTATTTTATGCCCTAAAATTTCTTGGGAATGTGGTGCCCTCTCTTGCATTTTCTTAAAGGCAGACTGATTGCCCGTGCCTGCAGACTCTGCACCCATGGGGTTTGTGCACCCACACTGCACTGCCCTCATTACCCATCCTGCTGGGCCCACATCTCCATCACCAGGGCAGCTGCTCCCTGAGCCAAGCTTGGGCTCTCTGAGGGTTGGGCAGAGTCTCCCTGGCTGCAGAAGCTTCTGGAAGAGAAGGGGTCTGGGTTTTTTTGTCTTTTGATGGGGTAGGTCATCACCAAGGAGAATGGCATCCTCTTAATCGACTCCAAGACATGCTCTTCTGCTTTGTTCCTTGCTGCTCCTTCTAAACTACCACTGATTCACAGTGCTGGGACGTGGTGAGGACAGCTGCTGTGCTGCTGCACCATCCCCACCCATGGCACCAGCACGGCCCTATGCTCCCAGTGGAGATCTTCAGAGGTTTTTCAGAGTGGGAAGAAGGGGAAAGGACGTGAGTTTTTGCTTGTTGCAGCCCAATATCCAGGGACCTGGATCTGTGGGATGAACTCTCCATTGGATGATAGGGGCTGATGCTGGTGTCCACGTGCAGGAAGGCAAGTTTCCACAGTGCTGAAGATACGATTAACCCAAGTGGGATTTAGTTGCCTAATCTATTTAGAAACGGTGTCTCTCATGAGCTCTGCTCACTGCCTGTGTTGGAAATATGACTGGGATTATGAGATTAAAGAATGATGACAAATAACGTGTTATCTTTAGTGCTTGCTGACAAGCACTGTGGCTTTCTCAGCTTCAGTGAGCTTTGGGGGAAAAAAAAAGCCACTTTTAAGATGTGTCTGTATAACAGTTGAAATATTTCTGCTGCTCTGGAGCCTGGCAAGAAAACACTCACAGTGGGATGGGAAAATGCTTCATCCTTGTATTTTATAGTCTTATAAATCTCCAGTGTCTTTTTCATCCGGAGTGCAGAGGCTGCGATGTGCAGTCACAATACTCAAATCAGTGCAGAGACTCGCACTTTCAGCCCAACCCTGCCCATGGTAATGTTAATGGTAGCCTGCCCCCATCCCTTTTCTCTTCACAGGGCCAGGATGCACGAAGACTGGTTTGAAGTGTAGGTTAAACATTTGCATGGAGTGAAGGAGTGATCTTTTGGTTTGCCTCCGTTACTGAGCTAGCTGTGAATTGCAAAGCAGCCCTTGGCCAGAGCAGTGGGATTCAAGGCAGGAAATGTACCTCTCTCTGCTGGAAATCAGTGCTTCTCCTAGCCTGGGAGCTGTAGAGGAAAGAAAAGGGCTCTGGGGTTGTAGCAGGGCAGGCTGCATTGTCATTTAAGTAGACCTTATTTATTTGAGCTTTCCTAATGCGCTTCCACTTTCTGAGGCCTCATGGAATAAAACCTACTTTGCTTGTAGTGTCCTTTGCATAGAGAATGGTTCCCGGCTGGTTTATTAACACTGACATGGAAGGAAGAGGAGGAGAACTGCTGGAGAAGGAGTAGAACAAAACCCACTGGGCTGGGTGCTTCTTCCCCTTTTCTATCGTCTGCCATAGCCAGGGCAGTCCCCACGTGTGGTTTGCAGGTGAGTGCTCCCTCCATCAGAGTTAGGGCATAGGTGTCTGCAAGGGGCCTGGGCAGGTGATTTTGGGAAACTCGAGTAGTTGTTTTGAATGATAGAAGCAGCAGAAGTGTAGGTCTAAGGACCCTCCAGGGTTTGCTGGATGGTTGCAAAAGCTAATGAGTCTGCTTTATGAGCTAAGGGAGGTGCTGTGCTGGGTAAGGCAGTGTGCTGTTATCAAGGATAGCCATACAAGTGTGTTCTCGTCTCACTTTCTATAGCTTCATCCCATTATTGCAAACATATGTTTGCAAGTAAATACACCCCTTTCTATCCTCCACCTGGTGGTCCTGAAGTGGGGTGCTGGGGCTGTGATGGAAGTGGCCTGTGGCAATAGTACCACTTGCACTTTGCCCACCCTCCCTCTGCAGCCAGTTTTGGGATGGTAGCAGGAGCAAGCTGCTGGATGGTCCTGTATGACAACCCCCAGAGCCATCTCCGGGCTCCTGCCCAGCCACACTGGACAGGCTTGGGGCAGGGGGGGATCTGCGAAATGCCACCAATTATAATCCAAAGGGGCATATCCTGATCACCAAAAGTTTTGGAAATGGCACCTTAAATATGTGTCGTGACAAGGTGACAGAGTGATGAGAACTGTAATAACCACGCTCCTTTGGGCCTGGCGTGGCTCTCGGCTGGATGTGACCAGACACACTTGGCTGGTGTCCGGGGGTTCCCAGGCATCCAGGGCTGTGGGAGGATGGGAAGGAGTTGAGCTGGTCCCCGAGTCCGTGGCACCACATGCACCCTGCGGCTGGAGTCAGATGGTCCTTTGGTGCTGGGCTGGGCAGAGGGATGGGTGCTGGGTGCTGGGAGGCAGCAGTGCCTGGCTGCTGGCACAGGGCTCTGCCACCAGGGACCCATTTCTCACCCCTACACAGCTGCCTGGGACAAGTCACCTTTCACCACCCGGCTGTGAGGTTCTGCGGACCTGTTTGACAAGGGCACCTCGCTCCCTTGCTGGAAGCACTATGCAAGGCTGAGAGGACGTGGCTATCTGGAAGCATGGCCCATCCCTCTCACAAGTTCTCCCACAGCATCCAAGCACCCTGATGAGCCTGGCTGTACACTGCCGGGACAGAGCCCTGAGTCATTTTCTCTTAACGAGACCAATTTATCTCTTGCATGGAAGGAATGTTTGAGAGCTTTTTTCCTCTTTAATGAGGAAGTGTTACAAGATTCATGTAACGCAGCTAAATACCACCGGTGGCCATCAGAAAGGAAGCACTGGGGACAGAAATAAAGCAACAATCAATTAAATCAAATAGCAGTATCACAAAACCCTCATTGTAAAGAGCAGACCATGCATTGCCGAATGGTAAGGAGAGTCAGCTGCAAAAGCTGCACACAGTAAAGAAGGATTTTCTTGTGCATTTTGCATTTGTACCTCTGTGGTTTGGCATTTCAAGACAGATCCAGTGCTTTAACATCTGAAAATGTGAGCCTTTATGAGCTGCTAATAGTCTCCTCTGGCATATCTTAGAATCAGTCAGCATTCCCTTCTGGTCATAGAATCTCATGAACACACATATAATCCATGAGGCTGAGACTGGCTTGGGGGCTTGGGAGCCTATGGTAGGTCTTGGTCTGTCAACAGAGCCCAGAGAGACTATCTTTTGAGACACCGAATGCTTTGGTACCTGGCAAGAGCTGGATCACATCCTAGCTCACAGCATGGAGAGCCCATGGCTTGATCACCATTCAGCCCAGTTTACTTACAGTGATTATCAGCATGACCTGGAAACAATTCCACAGTCCTCTTGTGGGGATCCTCCTCCTCGGGGCTCATGTCTTCTGTCTCCCATTGGTTGGACATCTTGAAGAAGCTGCTGCAGCTTCCATAGGCACAGCACTGGTAGGCGTAAGGAACCTCGAGAACTCTGCAGAGGGGGAAAGCAGAACTTTTAGGTGCATCACCTCCATGACCTGACTCTCCATTGCTTTGCACTGTTTGCTTAACTTCCATATGGAACAAAGCCAGTCTATCAGGTGATGGAGCAGGACTTCGCTCTGGTGTCACGGAGGACAGAATGTGGGCCCATGTCACCCCACAGTGCCTCTGCACTGCCCACTTTTGATGCTAAAGACACTGTCGGGCAATAGGATGTTGTCAAACAACAGGTTTGGAAACTGCAGTAAAGTTCCTGGATATTCCTAAAACCTTTCTGCAGTTCTCCCTAGGCTGGATTAGCCTCTTTTTCCTATCCCCTCTGGCAATACGCCCTCTGCTTTTGCACTCTTCACTTTTGAAAGCCATTTTTTGCTGGGCATCCTTTCTTTTGTTTAAAGTGAGAAGCTTCCCAAGAGCTCGAGTGAGGGCAAGGTCCTGCTTGCTTGTTGCTGAAGGTCAGAGAGGCACCTCCAAACTCCAGTTCCAAGAGCGTGGCTCACCCCTGCCAGCTCAGGCAGGGAGATCTCAGGTCTCTGGAGTGCAGCAAGTTATTTCAGTAAGCCTGATTTCTGCTTGGAAGTCAAATTGTCGGTTGTTAATTAGAGCATGTGTTTCAAGGTTAATTAAATAGCAGCTGATGATCAGCTGGATGAATACCAGCCTATCAGTCAGCAGCTGCCTGTTCTTCAAAGGCTACAAGCTCCTGCTCCGTTGCTGGGAGTCAGGAGGACTGCTGGTGGAGGCAAAGGGACCTCAGGTTTTCCAGACAATTAAGGTTCTTCTGACGAGATCAGTAAATATGGTGAAACTTTAGATTCTAAAAATATGCTTTTGTTTTAAGTTCCCAAACATTTCTGGCTGAGCCCTGGGAGGCTATGGAAACTCTGTAGACAAGCTTGCTTCCTGCTGTAAGCTCCAAATTAAACCCTCCTATTGCAAGGTGATGGGGAGGTGCAGAACCTCCCAGGATGGCTAAGAACTGTTCTCAGAGGATCCCTCCAGACATATGCCCCAAGAATAGGTCTGTTTAATGGCAGTACCCCAAAGGTTGGGAATGTTATTGGGTCCATCACCTGCCATGGCTCAATAACCACTCCTGCAGACTCAGTCTTTTAGGTACAAATCCAAATCAGTTCCACTGGTGTCAATGGAATTAAGTTTAGAGGAGGAACAGCCCTTGAAATGCCCAACTGGACCCGCTGTGCACAAGGGACTGCCATCCTGGGGGTGGAAAGCCCTCCAGAAGCTTCTTGGATCCCCTGCCATTTGGAAACCAGCCGTGCAGCAGAACCCAACTATGATAAGTCAAAAGCATCAGAAGAGAAAGCCCTGCGGGCACCACAGCTGAGGCAGACTGAAGTGAGAGCCACACTTTGCATCAGGCCTGAGCTCCTAAGCCCAATGTTGGTGCAGTTCCCTGTGACCCCACCAGTGAGTGTCTAAATTGGAGAAGCTCTGCCCTTGGGAATGAGTGGGAGCATCAGCTCATGCATCCTTGGCTCCAAGGAAGCTACCCTGGGAGACCCAAGCAAGAGATGGCTTCACTTGAGGGGCATTTGAGTCATCTGGACCATGGGGGGCTCAGCTTAAGGGCAGAGGACGTGCTGGACACCCACTGCTACGGGAGGGTCAGGAGAGCCAGAGCCTGCAGCGTGGCTCTCCAAGCCTTCTGCAGCCTCATTTTGCTTGGTTTGACCCCTTCAGGCTCCTCATTAATCCGTAGCAGACCAGACACGGCCACACAAACAGAGTTTACTGAAGGAAAGCTGGATGTCATTAGCTAGGACTGGCTTCTGGGAATGTTTTCCATTGAAGGGAGCCCTGAGCTGGGCCTGCTCCATGCTTTCCACTTGTGTGTGTGTTTGGGTGGGGGCCGATGGGCCTCGGAGCATCACTGCTCTCCCATGGAAGACTTTAAAAGATGAGGTGCATTAGCAGCAGATGAAGCTTCCTCAACCTATTGGCCTGAAAGGATGGAGGAAAGCACGAGATAAACAAGGAAAGCAGGAGACTGATTGCTATAAGCAAAGACAGGCTGTGCTGAGAGCCAGAAGTGAGAGAGTCAACACCACCACTACCTCATTTTGGGGAAGCTCTCCTTGGTGAAGGGCTCAGAGAGAGCTGGGTTGCCTTGGAGCTTCAGATGGGTCAGTCCACCCAAACCATCCAGAGGCAGCGTCACCAGCCGGTTATCAGTCAAGTCCCTGGTGAAGGGAAAGCAGAGAGGGAGATTGTGGTCAGGGTTTTGCTCCTAGTTGTATCTCAGGCAAGCAGAGATACAACTGCCTGCCTGGATTACTCCCTCTGCTGGGGTGCTGAAATGGGACGTGGTGCTGCACAGGGACCAGGATCCTCCAGAGATAAACGGATTGATACTGCAACCCCTGGGGAAAATGAGGGGCAGGGGCTAACGTTCACATTGAGAGCTCTGGATAGTATCTACCTCCCTGTGCATGTCTCTCTCCTGTGCATCTCTTCCCTCACCACCTCCCCCATAACAGGTCAGGTATGACTGCAGCTCCCAGCCCATAAAATACCCAAAGACCACAGTGAAGGGGCTGAGGACTGGGGCCCCGTCTAGAGCCAGCAAAGGTAGTTTGCAATACTCTTGCCAAAATGGTGTGTCTTGCTGCTCCTTCAGCATCTAAAGCAGGTATGAAAGCATCAGAAAGTGGAGGTTTAAGTGTTCGGGGTGAACACTTAAAGATGGTAAAGATGGTCCCTCCTCCATTTTCATCATCCCCTTAGTATTGGTAGGAAACCTTGGGGTTTGGTCTGCCCATGTCAGTGCTGAGACACGCACAGCAGCCTTCTGATATCCAAATGCCAGGTATCCCTGGGGATAGCTGAGCTCCTCAGATACCTGCTGTCCATAGCCCACTGTGAAAGAAATATCACTGCAACTTACAGCTTGGTGAGCGAGTGCAGGGTCACGAAGGCTTCAGGGTGAATAAACTGGATGTGATTCCAGCTCAGGTCTCTGCAAGGCAAGGACAAGGTAAGAGGGGTGAAGTGAAGGGGCAGTGAAGCTGCCGACACCCCCCTGGTAAACAGGCTCGATGTGAGCAAATGTGGGATCTGTGGCCTCTTGGTCAGCAGCGAGCTCTGTCTCGTTGCAGCTCCCTGGAGACAAATATGTTTGGGTCTATACATGGGTGGTTTCTAACAAAGGGCACAAGAGTTTGCCTTGCAAGATCTCCTCTGCTGAGACCAACAGGAAAGGTTCCTTCGGGTTAATTTCTGTAAATCTGAGGGGTTATGCTAACATGCTAAACCTCAGAACAGCAGACAGGTCATGCTGCAGTGCCAGAGCATCCCTGATGTGCTCACAGCGCTGGGTTCCCAGCATGGGCAGATATGGTCAGGGACTGTATGAATGTGAACCAAGGTCATCTGAGAGTGTCTCTTGTCATATACAGTTGGCTTGAACACACTGAGGCTCCTCAGTGAGCTCTGCTTCCACCTGAGCTGGGGAGCTCGACACCCTCTGTCAGCAGCAGCGAAGAACCAGCAGATCAAGAAGCATTTTTTTCTCCTAAGGCTGACTACAGGCAAAGCCTCCTGCGTCTATCTTCATCTTTCCAGATCTGAAGGGAGCTGGAGATACCTGCCCAGGTGTGTGTGCGTCCCACTGCAAAATGCTGAAGATGGGTGAGACGGATCCTTCCCATAGGGATGCAGAGAACACCCAAAGGCAAATGCTGGAGCTTGCATGCTCAGCTGTAAAAAAACCTTCCATGCAATTCAATTCCCATCCTAACAGAGCAGTAAATAGAGACCATCAGCACTTTGAGGGCTCTTCTCACGTGTACACGGAGAATCACAGCCTGTGGAGCCTTGCTAGCTTCTCAAAGGGGATGTTCTGCATGGGTGTCCAGGAATGCACAGCCTAGGACTTTTTTTTTTCACAACCCCCTGCCGTGAGTCCATGTCTTTGTGGGCATCCAGGAGTCAGTTGTCCCTAAGATGTGCTGTGCATTATACGAGTTGCAGCGTGTGCTCAGAGCAGTTGATGTGGAGTGTCCCCATGTGTGGGCACTGAGGTTGGCAGGTAATGAGGTTATTTAAAGAGGGGTGTCTGCGTGCAGAAGGGCAGTGAGAGGGAAGGTTTTTGTGCCCTGTTCTTCCGTAAGGAGACGTGGGAGAGGGACTGGACAGCAAAGCCTCCCAGCAGAGGCCGAGGGAGTGGGGTTGGGAAACGCTTCATCAGCCTGGCTGGGTGCTCACAGCTCCCCTTCCTCCAGCAAAAAGTCCAGTTGTTCCCTGCTGTACTTACATGGAGCGCAGGGCCATCAGCTGCACAAAGGTGTCTGCTCTGATTTCATGGATCCTGTTGTTCTGGAGACCGCTGAAAAAACAGAAGCTGGTCTGAGAAAGCAGCATTCACACTTCGTAGGGATTGTTGTCACAGGACAGCAGACACAAACTGTCACAGTGGAAGCTGTCATCTGAGCTTGGGAGATCTTACTCTTACTCTTAGCCTTCAAGGGGTAAACAGGATGATCAACAGAACAGCTTAAAGTGGGCAGCTCCAGTGCTCAGACAGCCTCTGCTTTTGATGCCATCACAGCACAGTAAAGTACCGTTGATGTGTAGTGGTTAAATGTGCCCCGTTATCTACAAAACCATGCTCTGTTTCACCCTCAGCCTGCAGACTGCTTTTGAAGTGATATTCAGTGCTGTCACCTTCTAGTTCTGTTTGCTGTGGCTGGGACCTCTGAAAAGAGCTCAGTTAATGAAGCTCCTGTGCACAGGGGATGTATTTGTATCCCGTGCTTGCGCAGGGGGAAAGAGGGGAGCTCTGGTCCACTTGCACCCACATAGTGAGTTGCAACGCTCAGCTTTCCGAGTGCTTGGTGAAGGCTGAGTTTTGAGTGTGGGGCTGCCTCTCACCCCAAAAGAGCCCTTCTCCCCAGAGTGAGGTGCACGAGGGCATCTCATTACTCACAGCTCCTCCAGCCGCTGGCACCGGTGGAAACTGGGCAGGTCTTCGATGTGGTTATGTGAGAGCTCTCTGCAGGGGAAGGACCAGTACAGCAGTGTTAGGAGACCAAAAGCGAGTGCCCCTGATCCCTCCCTTGGAAAGCAGATATTGCTGGAGACGGGGGTGACCTGGCTTCCATTTGCACAGATACAGACAGCAGTGACCCCCGGTGAGGGGACTCTCCACTCGGCACACACATGGTGCTTGCTCTGAGTGTCTTTGTGCAAGGCAAGGACTGGTGCAAGCCTCATGCCCTGGTGGTAGCTCTTACAGCCCCCATGCAAGATGTCTGCAGAAGATCTGCAGAGTGGGGTGAGGAGTAGGAGGCCAGAAATGTGGCATTAACGCTCTCATCTGTGCTCAGAGGTGTCACTGTCAACGTGGGGAGCGCAGCGAGAACCACCTCTGCGGGGACAGAAGGCCAACGCATTTCAAAGGCAAGAGAGAGATAAACATGCACAAACACTGGCCCACGTACTCTCCCAGTTCTGAAAGCAATGCAATTAATGTCAGCAAAACTAACTGGGGAAAAAAGGATGAGGAGCAAGCTGGGGTGTCCCAGTAAAACTCTCCCACGCGGAGGGGGCAGGCACGAAAAACAGGCTCTGCTCTGAAGCTTGCAAACATAGCTTGCAAACATAAACAGGGTGCCTGGGACCTTGCAGCCTGGCCCATTCCAAAGGCTACACGTTCGTGGTAAGATGACCACTGAGTTGGTCCTGATGTCTAAAGGTGAGAGAACTTCCCTAAATGGACAGCTAGAGCCAAAATGCTGTGATCTGCTAAGTTACAGATTGTGTTCGTTTATTTTTATGTTTTCCTCTTGTTTCCAATTTCTGTGATCAAGAATTCGTTCCTGTTGCTTTCCTGGAACAAACTTGTTTTCATTTTCAGCTTGCTTGTATAAAAACTGATGAGAGGCAAGCCTCCTGCTTGCCCTAAGGCTGCAAACTTGTATAAATCTGGCTCATGACTCATTTCCTGAGGATGTCTTCGACTGCAGACAAAGCTGGGATCTCGGGAATGAGGGCTGTGACTCCTGGGAAGGTGCAGGACTCTTTTTGAGATGCTGATTTCATCATGCACCAAGTTAAAGAAAAAAGCACATCCCTCCACTCAGCATCGTTCATTGTTTTGCTAAGCAGGTCGAGCCAAAGCAACTTAAAGACTTTAAGCAAAACCCTGATCTGCCACTGCTGCACCATGTGAGTCCAGAGCATCATGCTGGGATGAAACAAGCAAGCTTCATGTAAAGCTCAAGTTAGTGCCTAAGAAGATGGCGTTTTCTGCATGGAAAAGATAACGGGAATGAGAACCCCAGGGCAGACTTCCAGAGCTGGCCCCCTCCCTTAGCTGGGCAAGAAGCAAGCTGGGTTTTCTGTTACTTACAGGACTCGGAGGCTGGGCAGCTGCTGACACATCCCTCTGGGGAGTAGATGGATGCCTGCCTTGGTCAAGGTCCTAGAGGAGAGGGGGAGAGAGAAGAAATGGTGTTACTGGGAGCCAGCACACAGAGTCTGTGACCCACAAGCCCAGCTTCTGGTCCCAGATGATGGCAGGAGAGACAATATCAATGGGATAATGAAACACCTAGATAGAAACAAAACCTGAAACACCTAGATAGAGACAAAACCTGAAACACCTAGATAGAAACAAAACCGGGCACTGCTGCTGGACCTGGGAAAGGTCAATGTGGCTATAAGAAATTCTGGGATGCTACCAAGTACGGAATTCCCTGCTGTCCTTCACCACCCTGCGGTCAGGTGGCAGTGCCCCGTGTGGCGTGTTCTGCCACCCCAGTTCCCCCTTGTCCAGCCTGGTGATCTTCCTGGAGCCACGGCTGTCTCAGGAATCTGTGCATGGGGGGTGGATGGTGTGTCCCTGTGTCCCCGAGGCAAGGCACGGCCAGATCGTGCTCCTGCCCTGGGGTGCTCAGCTGTGCTCCCACACTGGGCACAGTGTGTGCACCAGTGCCCTAGAGAGGAGAACCATGGGTGGCCAGAGACAGCGTTTGCTCAAGCGCCTCCTCTCCTGGGTCTGGTGGTGTGAGGATGAGACCAGAACAGTTGCAGAAGCCCCCAGCCTGGGTAGCAGATGTTTGCTGCACTGCCAATGCAGAGACGCTGGGTCTCATCAGACCGTGCTGAAGCACTGCACCCAAAGGCTCATTCCTTCACAGATGCAGAAGGGAAGGAAGAGAAAAAATAACTAAAAAAAGGGTTGGAGCACACTCAACAGTAGCGAGAGAGCAACTCACGGAAAGGAAAGCTGCTTTCAGGAGCCACAGGGGTGAAACGAAGCAGAGAGGTGAGTAACCAGGGAGAGGCAGAGCTGAAGACAACCAACTGCACAGCACTGTGAAAGTTGTCCTCGCTGAAACAGCCTGGACCGCCTTGATGGAGGAAGAGCACAAATAGCAGGGTAAAAGGGAGAGAGGTGCCACTCACAAAACTTCTAGGCTGGTGGTGCCTTTAAGGTCTGGGAATTCTCTGATGTCCGTCGCACCATTGAGTGACCTGCAGAGAAATGAAGGTGAAGTGAGGTGGACAGGACCTGGATGCAAGTGGAGCTGCTCAGGGTCCCAGACCTATCAGCCATGGTGGCAAATCTGCTTCCTCACACCCAAACGTGGTGATCAGAGGCCCGGATACAAAGGTCCCCCTCTCATCAGTGCTTCCCTGGTGGCTGGGTGGTGGAGCAGACATCTCACACAGTGCACACGCAGTGAGCTGGAGCTGGGCATTTCTCTTCAAGGGGGTTTGGCAAGCTCGGACCCTCCCCCAAACCACTGACATTCTTGGCATGATCTCTACTCAAATTAAATAGAACCCCCCAGACAATTAGCATGGGGAATGTAAGCAGAGCATCCCACACAAGCCTCCCCGAGCCTATGCATTTGGCTCTAAAGAATGCATGGGTGTTTGAAGGATTTATTTGCCTGAGTGTGTGTTCCTGCAGTGAGAGGCTGTGTGAGGCTTACAAAGAGAGATCCTGAGCTTTCCTCTGCCTCAGTATTTAGTGCTGTGCCACAAGAGGTTAGCTGAAAAGCCACCCAGTCCAACACGGAGTGGTGGTGCCCACCAGATGGTGGTGGTCCTGGAGCAGGCTTAGGGCCACACATATGAAGGAAAGCACTGGCACCACCAGCTGCCCACTAAGATTCTATGTGCCATGGTGTCAGAGCTAAGGCACACATGGTCCTCTGCTTCTCCATCTTATGGAGGAAGCCAGATGCCTTCAGTGTCCTCATGTGTGAGCAGCTACAAAACAGTGTAGGTTCTGCTTGAGCAGTCTGTGGCAGAAGTTGTGGCACTTGTGAGTGTGGTCTTTGCTGGTGCTGATGCAGCCATGGAGACCCTAAATGACTGCAGTGTCTGTCAGCTGTGTTGGGAGGAGGAATGAAATGCTCCCTCCAAAATGCCCTTCTCAAAATGATTCTTCTTCAGCAGAAAACACCTGCAGGGTCTACTCCTTGGCTCATTGCCTTGGGGCTGGCCAGAAGAGTGGCATCATGGTCTTCTATTGGCACAAAGGCTCTAGAAAAGAGGAAGGGGTAAGACCTCCAAGGTGTCCAGCTTGCAGGGCTTGGAGCTTGGATGTGATACCCCTCTGAGGATGTGCTTGATGAACTTACAGAGTGTGGAGCTTTGGTAAGTACTGGAAAGCAGACTGTCCAACAAACTGGATAGGATTGTCATAAAAATGGCTGCAAAGGAAATGAGTAACTGGTCAGATTCTGCTGCGCACGAAGAGAAGATGCTATTACAGGTCAAGAGCCTTGGAGCACCCAGTAGTAAAATATGTAGCAGCTATTGACTATCCCTGTTTTCCAGATAGCCTCAGGCTCTCCAACTAGCCTGTTTTGGCTGAACGTTGGTAAAACTGAGGTCTCCTGCGGGTCCGAAAGGGCTCTTTGGTGTTTTTAAAGATGCAAAGCCTTCCTTCAGCCCTGCTCTAGTGCTGTAACCCTACAACCACCGCAACGATCTGGTGTCCCAGCTCCCTGACACATATAGATACTGCTGGAACTGGCGAGCAGCTTTTCTAAACACAAGGAATAAACACAGGCAGATGTCAACCAGGGCTTAGGAAATCCTGTTCCACACAGCAAGTTTCCATGCAGACCACCCATACATTGTTCCTTCATTGTTATCAGCTTGTACTACAGCAAAGTTCAGCTGCGGAGAAAGGAGAACCCATGGCAAAACTCCTGAGGCATAGCTGAGGAGGAGCTAATTTCAGCTTGCATTGGCCCATATATAACAAATTGCGGTCATGCTGATGACTGTTAGGAATCCCAAGCAAAATTCATCAGGAAATGCCCCTTTCTGGGGGATATAAGGATTTAGAAAACATTGTTTAATTATCTTACATTGTTTGGAGGAGAGGATTCCCAACAAATGCATTCTCTGGAATAGCTTTGATGTTGTTGTTATGAAAACCACTGTTGGGAGAAACAAATATCTCAATATTAATGAATGAGAAAGCCTTGGAGACACCTTGTTTCTTCAGTAAGTTTAAAGGCAGAGAGTCTTCAAAACATATGTAAAATAGGATGTGTAGGCTCTGTTCCAGACGTAGCATCATCCCAGCAAGTGAACAAGGTCTGTCTTTTGGCAGGACAAAGCCTTTGTTCTTCTCTATTTACTCTGTGTACAGCTTGATGCCCTGTATGTAACTCACTGAACCCACCAAGAATACAGAGACTTAAGGGTTTTTGCAGCAGAAGAGAGCTCTATGGCCACAGTCTGATCTCCTGCACATCAAAGACAGCCATGGGATCCTGTGCCCAAGACCAAGGCCAGGCTCTGGGTGATGCCCAGGTTGTTTAATCCCACGTGGCTGTTTGAAATTTGCCTCTTGTACAGTGACAGGCATTTCAAAAGGGTCTTATTCTCATTTTGAATGTCACAGTAATGCTGATTCCTGCTCTGATCAGAGAAATGCCTGAGAATTCTTCCAGTAACGAAAAGATCAGATGGACTTTGAGACCTTCCGATGCAGTGGGAGAATGAAAAGCTCCAGGAGGAGCCTGCTCCAAACCTCATGGGGGAATCTACTATTCCCCTCCACCAGCCTGTTGCAGAGGTTGATGGTGAGGTGATGAGAGCTGATGGAAATTGAGGGGATAAATTACTTCTAAGTGCATGTCAGAGAGGGCTGGAAAAGACAAAAGAAAGGCTTGGCCCGAGCGCTCTCCTCAACTCAGAGCACACGCGATGCTTTTGAAAAGGAATAAATAGAAAATCTCACAGCTCCTGCAGTCGTCCCAGTGTCCTGATGGCCCCAGGGAATTCCAGCAGCTCATTGTAGTTTAGGTCCCTGAAAGACACAGAAAGGAAAAACATTCATTAATGTTGCTGTAGGAACTCAACCGAGTGTATCTGTGCTTTGAAGGAACGGAAACTTGGTCGTTAAGCACAGGAGCCAGGTTTTTCCTACTGTGCAGATCCAGCCAGTGCCTGGAAACAAAATCTCACACATTTCTGCAGCAGGAATATTCCCTGCTAGGAGCACTGTGAGGAGAGAGCCTGTCCAAGCCATGGTTGGACTCCTTGCCCCCAAGCCCCTCCTTGCCCACTGCTGGACTGTGCTGCTGCTTCACATCTTCAGAGTGCCCCATTCCCACTCCCAGGAACTCACTCCCAGGGGCTTTGGCTGTGAGTCATTTTTCCTGCTTTTCCAGGTCAAAATGGGACTTCATGAAGGACAAGAAAGACAAGTGAGGATTCAGCTGTGTGGGCCTCGTGAAAGGGCTTCTCTGGGCACCCTTGCCCTGCGGTGCAGAGGGGACATGGGACCATTCCCTTGGTGCTTGTCCTGAGGACACCAGATCTCCCTGTCACTGGGACATGCTGTGACTGGAACAAGTATGGCTATGGGAAGGCCTAGGTCTTCTTTTGATGGTTGGGGTGAACCCTGCACTGCAAACTGTAAGCTAAAGGTGGAAGTAATGTGCAAGAGCATTAAGATTAATCTGCAGTATAATAAATTAAGCAAAATATAATACGCTGGTCATAATGATGAGTCCAGCATTTATTTGCTCTGACCTGGCAACCAGAAGAGACATTTGAGCCTGAATAAAACTTCACGAGATGCATTTGTTCTCCAAGGATGGGCTGGTACCTCTGGAAAAGGGTTTATTTGAGCTGTGGGGCACTGCTGGCAGCATGGGAGGAGCAGTCCTCTGAAGGTACCAATCCTGCTGTTGACTAGGGGGGCCCATGGAGACTGGCTGGGCTTTAGATGGGTGTCAGTCCTCCTCTAGCATGGCCAACACTGGTTGGAAGACACTTCCAGCTGCAATGGTAACATGTGGCCCCATCCTGGCCGTCCCACCGACCAAGACACTGAAAACCCAAGTGACTGCTTCCTACCTGCAAGAAACTCGCTCAGTTTTAAGTGGTAGATACTTTGGAACATGAGTGTAATTACTGGCTCCTGGAGATTACTGTATAATTACACTTAATGGACCTCAAAGTAATTACCATGTAACCTGGATTGTGGTTTACGGAACAGAAATAACCATGTATTTACACAGCAATGAGTTGCTGCCCAATTACCTTGTAATTCTCATCCTCTGGGCCCAGCCGTGGTAATTACACTATGGTCTCTCTTGCCCACCCTCCCCCCCCTTTACATAGTCTTCTCCTTTACCAGGGTTCCTGCTTGGGAATGACTCCACAGCACCATCTTGGCTTTGCCCTGTAGGTATTTACACAGTAAATCAACCAAGTGAGTCTCTCCAAATTGGTCTTCCCTTGCGCCTTCCAGGACTCCAGGCTTATATGACTTATATCCTAGGGAATACTTATCAGGAAATTACTACGTAGGTGACAAAACCGGAAATAAAACAGGGAATGAGGTTGTCTGGGATGGATTTTATCTTGTGTAGCTCTGACAAGGTCCATATCAGACCTGGATACTGGATTCCCCAGGGGATGCGGCAGGTCCTGCTGTGGAACCCCCACCCCAAGGGCTATTTAATCTCCTCCGGTCACAGAGGGACTCTGGCTGCCTGCACTAAGTGTATTTGAGGGAATGAATCCTGCTCCTGTAGGACCTGCCTCTCAAGGTGTGGAAAGGGTTCACGTAGTCTAGTGCGTGCCAGTGCTGGCAGTCAGCAGGGGAGGAGCACAGGGCTCTCCACCGTGTCCAGCCTGCAATGCACTGACAGAGTGCCAGGATGTGAAGTTGTTGTGCATGTTGCCAGGGCCCAGCAGCGGAACAGGAGCAATGCAAGGAGCACAGGGCTCTCCACCGTGTCCAGCCTACAACGCACTGACAGAGTGCCAGGATGTGAAGCTGTTGTGCATGTTGCCAGGGCCCAGGAGTGGAACAGGAGCAATGTGTCCCCTCCTCATGTCAACTTACAGATAGGACAGCTCTGCAGCTTCTGAAGAGCTTGCTCTGACACACTCAATTCTCATCTGGGTCCAAGCAAATCAGTGACTTTTCCCAATCTTCTCTGCTTGAGCCCAGCATTAACGGTGATGGGGCTGCACAGCCTGTTCCTTCCACTTCCAAGCAGCACCAGAAAGGTCCCATTTCAGGTGAGAGTGATGAAGCAGGAGGGGCCTCCTGGCCAGCTCCTTTTGAAATGCCTTCTTCGTTATCTGAAGATCCAGGTGCCTCTAACCAAGTTAGTGCTTATCGTGTTTTAAATGACACCTTAGTTTTTCTGGATACATCTATAGTGAAAGGTTTCCAAAGCTGCTGCTGCTGCAGTAGTCTTTGCAGCAAGAACTGAACTAAAGCATTGGAAGAACTTGGCAGTAGGTGCAGTTTAGCTTATGCCAGTGTTTCAGAGCTCCAAACTCCAGAAATTATTGTTTTCTGCCACTATAATGCTAAAGACATACTTATCTATGCATTTTTGAGAGAGAAAACATCTGGAGTAATCATCAGTGACTTATCAAGTAGAAAAATCTAGGGGTAATTCCTGGGGTAATGGTTGGACTTGATGATCTTGAAGGTCTTTTCCAACCTAGCTGTTAAAGAATGAACAGCCCAACACACGACTGCTCATACACCTCACTCTTTGCAAGGCGATGTAGCTTGTTATCAGCTACTTGGATGCTCTTAGGCAGTTTCTGTCGGTGGTACCTGTCAGGTGTCCATCCCTGTCACAGCTGAGCACCTCACATTGTACAGGCTGTTACGTGGGGGAAGAAGGGGCAGGACTTTTACAAGGCACATCCCTTCGCTGAAGCTCAGGGAGCACAGGAGTGGACTTCCAAAGGGAACGAGTGATTAGAAGTGCAGACAGGACACCGCTGGGCACTTTGAAAGCATCAGTCAAATCCGATTAACCTTCAAATCACTTCACTGAATGAAATCAGAAGGCTTTAGCAGCCTAAGTTGACTGACAGCCCCAGATCTCTATCTGTGCCTAAGGTGTTTAATACCTTTAAAAGTCTCACCCTGCAGGGACTTCCCAGGGTTACAGCGAGGTTTCTCAGCACTGCGGGAAGCTGCAGGGGTCACCCAGGGCTGGGTGTCTGCCTGTGCCCCTTCCCTCCCTTGTACCCCAAACTGGGGGCTTGGGATAAGCCTCTGCGATGCCGAGGGACAGGCCCTGGGGCAGAGGCACTGTGAGCCCCAGGGGATATCAGCCCACGGAGCCACCGATGCTGGGGAAGCTTTGTGCAGGGTTAGGTTTCTCCCCAGCGATACCCGACGTGTCTGCGAGCAGCCGACAGACGGAAAGTGCTGCCCAAGAGGAGACTTGGCTCCCCTGTGATTCACAACAGAGAAAGGGATCTGAGGTCTGGAAGCACAATTATTTACAGGGAATAATTCCCTGTGCTGTAATATTTGCTCCTGTCTCTCTAAAAATGCGTTTCCTTTCCAGCCCCTGCCTCTTCCAGGCAGGCTGGTCTTTCATCAGCAGATGAACATGTTGTTTGTGCCTCCATGTGTGTGCAAGTATGTACAGGACCAGTGTTTCCTGAGTGAAGACACACCTTTCCCAGCCCTGGCAGCATCTCTGTGCCTCCCTCCCCCTTGTGCTTGACACATACAAAGAGCATTGTGTTCAGCAGCTCCCTCTGGGTAAAAAAGCCATCTTGGAATGCTGGCAAATACTGGGCTTGTTGGAAAGTGGAAATGCAACCAGGTGTAGTCACGCTGCTCCAGCCTGGCTGCCAGCGACCCCGGTCTGCTCAGGGGAGACAATGTGCCTGTGCTCGCTCCTGCCCGCGCTTCCTGGGTTCCGGCAAGGTGAGCCTCTCTCCCAGGGATCAAACCCAGCTGGGATCCTTGCAGCTCCCCTCAGTGATGCTTGTAGCCAACTCCTCTTGATCCACAGCCCTGACTTGCCTCCAGCGCTGCCCCGTGCCAAGCCCTGCGGGTATCAGTGTGTGTGTGTGATCTGGCTGGGGGAGGCTGGGAGAAGCCACTACCTGGGATGGTTCCGAAATGTCTCTTCCCTGCAGTGGGGCAGCTTTCCCCGAAGCTCTGACCCAGACCAGGACACAGGGGTTGCTTTCTTCTCCTTTCTCCTTCATTCCCGGAACCTGAGCCTGGGCTCCGGTTCTAGCAATGACCCAGAAACTGGCTCCAAGCTTCACCATGGGACTGTGGATGTCATTTAGCTGTTTCCACAGGTCATAGAATCACAGAATCACAGGATGGTTTGGGTTGAAGGGACCTTAAAGCTCCTCCAGCTCCAACCCCTGCCCCGGGCAGGGACACCTTCCACTAGAGCAGGTTGCTCCAAGCCCCTGTGTCCAACCTGGCCTTGAACACTGCCAGGGATGGGGCAGCCACAGCTTCTCTGGGCACCCTGTGTCAGCGCCTCAGCACCCTCAGCAGGGCTACATCCATCCCAGACATCCCAGACGTGGTCCCCCAGCTCCCACAGCGCTGGGGTCTGCCCTAAGGCTTTGTGTGTTACGTATGGGGTCTCTGGGTGTGAGTTCTGCCTTCTGCCCTTTTTGGCACACTCAGGAAAGTGGACCCAATGCCAGCATTACCTGGTGGAAGGATGCCAACACACCATGGCCATGCCAAAACAATAGGCAATCCTCTTCATCATCATCATCATCATAAAGAAATAATGGTCATGGCATAAAGAAGCGTTTTCCCCATTATCAGGGGTTTTTGGAAGCAAAATCACCCAGCCAAGATGCTCAGAAATGATCTGCAAGAGAAATGACTATAGAAAAAATCACTTTCCTTGGTTGGGCTCCAAGCTCCAGGCATCACAGTAGGATGTTAAAAGGAGCCTTGTCTGTTCTCTTAGTTAAAATGAAAACCTCTTAAAGGTCACCTGGTCTACCCAAGACACAATGAACTGGCTGGCTCTGCATTGTTGTTAT